CCTTTTCGAGTTATGATTTCAACATAGGAATTTGATGGGTACACATTCAGACCATAACAACCTACTCCCTCTTTCCAGAGGACCACGCTTTGGCTTCATTGATTTCTCTCTCTCTCTCTCATTCTCTTTTAATCCTCACCCGAGGAGATATATATATATATATTTTAATTGATTTTAAAGAGCCCTGGCCAGTGTGACTCGGTTGCCTGGGCATCACCCACTGTATCAAAACGTTGTCTGTTCAATTCCTGGTCAGGGCACATACTCGGGTTGCAGGCTGGATCCCTGGTAGATGGCATGCAGGAAGCAGCTGATCGATGCTTCCCTCTGATGTTTCTTTCTCATATTGATGTTTCTCTCTCCCTCTCCTTTCTTCTCTCTCTAAAAATCAATAAACTAAATAAAAAAAATTCTTAAAAAATTGATTTTAGGGAGAGGAAGGAGGAGAGAGAGAGAGAAAGAAGCATGGATGTGAGAGAGAAACATCAAAACATCGATTGACAGCCTCCCATACACACCCCAACTGGGGATCGAACCTGCAACCTTTTGGTGCTTGGGACGACACTCCAACTAACTGAGCCACCCTGCCAGGGTGCATTTAATTTCTTATCTCACATATATGTGGCTAGTATTATCCCACGCAATTTATAAATGTTAACTCACTTAGTCCTCTTGACAGCACTAGGAGGTAGGTCCCATGACTATCCTTACTTTGCACCTGAGGCTCAGAGAGCTTAAGTAGCTGGCTCTAGTGGCAGCTTTCGAGTGGCAGAGCCAGAGTTCAAACCCAGGTGTCTGACCCCAGAGCCCTGATCTTAGCTCTGTTCCCTCTACTGCCTCTAGTTTCTGGATAAGAATGGCTAGACTTTTCTAGAAGGGCTTCAGAGGCCAGGGGAGAGAAAACCAGACTCCTGAGGGTGCTGAGGCCCCATACTGAGTATGGAAGTTAACTTTGGAGAGGCGGTTCAGGGCAGCCGTCATCAGTATGGACCTGATGTCCTTATCTACCATCTATTGCCTGTGTGACCTTGAGCAAGCTCCTTCACCCCCTATGCCTCAGTTTTCCCATCTGCATTGCAGGGACTGTGATCATTCCTAATAACCTCATGGGATTGTTGTTGTTTTTTGTTTTTTTCAATGTATTTTTATTGACTTCAGGAGGAAGAGAGGGAGAGAGAGAGAAACATCAATGATGAAAGAGAGTCATTGATCAGCTGCCTCCTGCACGCACCCTGCTGGGGATCGATCCTGTAAGCCGGGCATGTGCCCTGACCAGGAGTTGAACCTTGATCTCCTGGAACCTCGATCGAGACTCCACCGATGAGCCATGCTGGCCAGGCCTCATGGGATTGTTGTGACAATTCTCACAGTCATTTCTGGGGCAGGCTTGCACAGATCCTGCTACACAGTGGTGGATGTATATGCTCAACTCCTGGGTCCTTCAGGGACAGGAAATATCAAGGGGTTCTAGAAATATTCTAGATGCTTCTTAGAAGGGGTGTCTCAGAAGAAGGAAGCAGGGGATGCATTTCCACTCAATAGTACAAAGAACATTTATTTTCTTTAGTTTTGGAATTGTTCCCCTGGGGCCAGCACTCACCAAGTTTGCCTGTTGTGCCTGAGCCCTCTTCCTCTCTCCCATCCTCTCACCCCTGCTCAGGCCCCATCCTCCCCTGTTGGACCCTGGTCCAGCCTCCTTCCTAGGCTCCTGCTGCCAGCCTCACCTCTTCAGTCCATCCTCCCCCGCCATCCCTAGGAAGATTCTTAAATTCACCATTTCCTTCCCTGCTCACACACTCTCCATGGCTCCCCACTGCTGTCTGGGGAAAGTCCCAGCTCCTCAGATGGTGTTCAAGGCCCTTTCGACTCCAACCCCTACCCTCCTCACCTGTTCCACCCCTCCTCCTCTAGTTCCATGGAATGACTTCCTGTTCCCATAACAAGACTCCCACTTCTCCCCTTCATGGCCTTTGCTGAAACTGTGCCCTCTGCCCAGAATATCCTGCTCTGTTAGATGAACTTCTACTCATCTTTCATGCTGATCTCCAGTGCCCTTACTCCAGGAAGCCCTCTGCTTTGGATGGTGGTCCTAGAGGTAATAATCAGGCCCTGGCATCCTGGGCAATTGACCAGGGCCGGTTCTGAAGTCCAGCCTTGATCTCATGGACCCAGCCCACCTCCCTGGGCCACAAGACCTGGGTGAGGCCATTATATCCCTTGGGTGTGAACAGTCTCAAGACTGATCCTGTTGGAGAAGGAAGCATAGAAGTCAGAGAGGACTCACTTGTTCATTTATTCATTTGATAATAGCTGGGCACTGAGCCAGGCACTGGGTTAGGCCCCTTCAGATCTGAGCTCTTCCCACAGCCTGTTAATTAAGGATGGATCTGCCCTGTATTATGGATTTGATCTTGGGCTCAGAGAGGTTAAGTGACTTGCCCAAGGTTACACAGTGGCTGAGGTTGGATTTGAGTTCAAATCTATCTGGCATTGAGCCTGAAGCGTTTCTGTTTCATAGAGCATGTTGGTTAAGAGCAGGCATTTTGGAGCTGGGTGGCCTGTGTTCAAATCCTGGCTCTGCCATAATGGCAGATGGTGCCAGTGCCTGTCCAAATCCTCTGCGCCCATTTTTGGGTACCATGGGCTGACTTCCTGCTGCCAGCACCTGTGTTCTAGGGCTTTCTCCAGTAGCTGGAGCCCACACTAATGCGTGTATTGGGAGCATGAGCGTTAAAGCCCCAGGAGAGTCTCTCAGCCAGTGACTATGGACTATGTGAGTTGGTGTAAAAACCCCAGCCCCTCACCTTTAGGTGGGTTGACTCTGAGATTCATGTGCCCCAGAGGTCCTCCTTGGTACTGAGCCCTGGTTGCCCATGGTGGGAACTTCCTTGACAACTCACTCTTTACTGACTGCCTTCCTTCACTCTGTCACTTCCCCACTGCCTTACCTGTGTGTTTTGGGATCACCCAAATAAGCTACTTGCTCTAGGACTCTTGTCTCCAGACCTGTTTCTGGGGAAGTCAAGCCGGGACAGTCACCTACTCACCTGTAACTTCGGACAAAGTAAAATGGGGAACAGTAGCAACTCTGTCACTGAGTTCTTGTGTGGGTTGAACATATAAATCTATGAAAAATGCCCTGAGCAGCACCCACCATTGCAAGCACAAATTGTGTTAAATATGACAATACTAGTAAAATTTTATTACTAACAGAACAAGAACACGATAAATACCAACCTGTCATTATTGTGTTTACTGTCCCTGTGTTTGTTTCTTGAACATCAGCTTGTGTCAGGCTCCATGTTGGGGTTCTCATGCTTTGCTGTTTCATGAGTCCTCTCGACTGTCCTCTGACAGAGAGGTGATTCTTCCCCACTTTTCAGATGAGGAGCTGGAGGCTCAGCAAGGTGCAGCCAACAGTCTGCAGTCATATAGCCCTTCTTGGCTTGTTTTGAGGGCAGGGGAGGTGGCAGGAGGAAACAACTAGGGGAAGCTGGGGCTGTACACCTCCTCATTGTCCTTCCCTACCACCCCCCACAGTATCTTCCAAATGAGTCGGGCCTCCAGGATGAGAAGAAGGTGCTGGACAACATGCACCATGTGATCCTGGTGTGGATGGGACCTGTGCTGCCACTGGTGGTTCTGGTGCATCCTGACTACATCAAACCCCTGGTGGGCGCCTCAGGTATGTAGGCTGGGCCTCTGAGTGATGGGTAAAACCTCAATTCCCAGAGTCTACCAGGGCTTTTAGGCAGGTGGGTTATCCAGGAAAAGGGTCATTTGAGTAGACCTTTGAAGAATGAATAGGAGTTCACCAAAGCAGAAATGGTAATACAGAGAGTGGGAACAGCATGGAAAAAGGTGTGACTAATAGAGTCCCAGGAACTCTGAGAAGATGCCTGTCCACTGAACCAAACATATTCGGATAAGTAGTTGTTTGCCCAAGATTTTGTTAACTGGTTGTTGCTCAATTCTAATGGCACTCCCGTCATTTGGGTTCTGACCATCCCAACCTATAGCCTGCTTTCTTCACCAGTGCTGATCCTGACTGGTGGGGAGAGAGAGTAGGATTGTTTATTCCTTCTGCAATCCACACCTACCCCATGGTGTAGGACTCCCAAGTGTGCTTGACAAGCTCTTGCTCGGCCTTCGACACTCAGCTCCAATGACCCTCCCTCCCCTTCTCCAGGAAGGTTTCCCTGACTCTCCAGCAGACCATAGCCCTCTTCCCTGGACTTTCCCATTCTCAGTCCTAATCATTTAGGGTTGAGTGTGTCTGTGTCCGGCTCTATCTTTTTCATAAGTGGGGCTCTGGATCCTCAGTGTGGTCTCGCATGTAGCTGGGTACCTTCAAAAGAATCAGGGGACATTTGAGAAGAGAGCATGGATGAGAAAGAAAGAGCCCCAGGAATTTTAGGATCTCTTGCCTCAGTTTGGGCTTCTACAAACACACATTTGGGGACCGCCTTCAAGGCTACCACCCAGAGCCATGAGAGACTAAGGGGCTGCCATCCTTCCCTCCCCCAGTGATGCACTCCCCATGCCTCTATGTCCCCATTGTTGCATTTGTGAGAGGGTGACCATCCCCATTGCACAAAGAGGGAAACTGAGGCCCAAGGAGAGGTGACTCTTCCAAGGGATGGGCACTGAGTTTGGGAAGAGCCCTGGAGCCAGACTTGGGTGGGCTGGGTTTGAGTCCTGACTGAAGCACATACTTGCTGTGTGACCCAGAAATTCAGCTTCTCAGGGCCTCAATTTCTGATTTGAAAAAGGGGCCATTGTGAAGACTCAAAAATATAACGTAGGTAGGTGCTAATAAGGGCTTCTTCTTTTCTGCCTTTTTAATATACTATTTTTTCTTTCTCTCCCTGACTCTTCCTTTTCTCCTCCATCCTGCTTGGTTTGAGACTCCTCGTGGCTCAGGAAGCAGATCCCCCAGCATGGGCTTGGTGCTTAGCAAATGCTCAAGCCTCCTCCTCAGGACAGGCAGGATATCCACCACCTCCCTCACCGGAGGAGCAGGATGGGGGACTTCAGGTTGGGGAGGGTGGGGCCGTGAGTCAGGTGAGGCCTGGCCTCAAGGTGCCCCTGCCCCTCTATGCCTAGCCGCCTGGGATGGGACAGGCCTGGCCCAAATTTCAGACATGATCTCCCTCTGGGGCTTCCTTGGGAGGCCACCCCTGGGGGTCTTGCTGCTCTGAGCTTAAACTAGCACATCTGATAAGCCCTGAGGAAGGCCTGAGTCCTCTTGGAACCTCTGTTTTGTTTTGCTTTGTTTTGTTTTGCTTTGTTTAATCACCTAATGGGCATTTGGGATAGAGAGCATTAATGGGAGAAAGTAGGTGAAAATGTTTTACAGAGGACAAGGCATGATATATAGGCATGTAATTATAGCTTGGTTTTATACATTCATTTTTTTATTGAGATGAAAGTCACATAACATATAACCAACCATTTAAAAGTGTACAGCTTTAGAGTGTAAGGTAATTAGTGTGTTCATAATATTGAGCAACCATGGACTATTTCTAGTTTCAAATTTTTTTCATGACCCCATAAAACACCCTACACCATTAAGTAATCACTTGCCATACCTCCCTCTCCTTATCTCCTGGTAAATATTAATCTACTTTCTGTCTCTATGGATTTTCTTATTCTGGATATATCATAGGAACGGAATTATACAGAATGTGGTTTTTGTGACTGAATTCTTTTATTCAGCATAGTGTTTTTGAGGTTCATCCACGTTGTAGCAATTATCAGGACTTCATTCCTTTTTTGAGGCTGAGCAATAGTCCATTGTATGAATATAGCACAATTTGTTTATCCATTCATCTGTTGTTGAACTTCTGGGTTGTTTCTACCTTTTGGCTGTTATAAATAGAGCCGGTAAGAACACACGGGTACAAGTTTGGGTGTGGACATATATTTTTATTTCTCTTGGGTAGATACCTAGGAGTATCTACTGAAAAAAATTTGTATGGTCATATGATAATTCTATGTTTAGTATTTAAGGAACCCCCAAACTGTTTTCCATGGCAGCTATGCATTCACATTTCACTAATAGGGGCCTGCTGTGAGCTGAGGACCCAAGTTCTTGACACCAGTGACCAATACTTATAATCATAGTAATAAGAATAGCCAACAGTTGGTTAGTTATTCCTTTACATGTACAAATATTTAATGAGCACCTACTATGTGCTGGGAACATATTAACTCACTGAGTTTTTATAGGGGTACCATGAGGCAGGCAGGATTGTTCTATTTCCCCTTTGGCAGATGAGGACATGGAGGGGCATAGTAGTAACATGTCCAAGTTTACACAACTAGTTAGTGGTAGGGTTGGGATTTGAACTCAGACTTGGCCATCCCAGAGGCCAAGCTCTCAACCAGAGTGATATGGAGCTTCCTACTGAGCACTGTGTGAGGGCTTTTCTTATATGACCTCTTCCAAGGTAGACTTTACCATCCCCTTTTTACTGGAGGGAAAATTTATGGAAGAGGCAGCCTGGACACAAACTCTTGGCATTGAGTGGTCAGGGTTGGAGTGGAGGAGGGACCCAAGGATGGAAAACCAAGGGCTCAGCTGGGGAGAGGGTTTGGCCTTCTGGAGGGGGCATTAGTGAAACTGGGCTTTGAAGGATGCATAGGAGTTTGCCAGATGAGTAATTTCAGGTGGAGGATCCTACTAGTACAAAGGTACAGATGTGTGAAAGTGCCAGGGGAATTCAGATGATTTGGGGTGTTTAGAGTGAGGATGAAGGGTGTGGAGAAGTAAAAAATGAGACAGAAACTGGACTCAGAGTACCTTTGTGCAAAGTGAATGAGCTTGTGTTTTACCCTGGGGGTGATAGGGAGCCGTGGGAGGTGTTTGAGAAGGGCAACCATTTGACAGGTCTGTGAGTCAGAAAGACTTCTGGGGGTCCTAGCCTGGAGTCCAGATTCCAGAGAGAAGAGGAATGACTAGATTCCCACTTTTCCTTTCCAATATTTCCTCTCCCAGGAAGCTTGCCTTGACTTCCAACAGCTTTTTCTCTGTGCCTCCCTTCTCTCCTGGCACACTTCCTACAGTCTTGCTAATTGCATGGCGTGCCTCTGCTCTCTTTTCCCACCCCACCCAGCGTTCCTCCAGGCAGGGCGGAGCTGAGCCATCTCTGGGTCTCCAGCATCATCCAGCATGGGTTGGGCACAGGAAGGTGGCAGAAGAGGTGTGTGTTAAATGGGGGAATGAATGAGTGGACAGATGACTGCATGATTGGCCAATTCTTGGGGGG